GGTTTAAGCTTGTACGTCATGACGTCACCGCGTGGCGACTCAGAGACAGCCGCATTGTTGTGGGGGAAGCGAAGCCCAGGCTGCTGCTGAGCTGTGCTACTTCCAACCACTATCCCACCGTTCAAAAGAACGCAGTTTGTACCCAGGTACACCTGTAACCGTCTCCGTCGCCCTGGATTCTTGCCGGTCACCTTCAGGTTGTACCCGGTTCAGGTTGAGCCATGGCCACCGGAACAAACTGAATGTGGATTTAACTGCTGCTCTGCTCCGAAGGCCGCGCCGCCATTGCTCCGGTTGAAACAAGCTGGTGAACACACCGAGGTAGGTTCGGGCTCGCTCTCTGCTCGGTTCTGTAACGCTGGTCTAACACAATCCAGGCGAGGTGAAACAAAAGGGGTCGCCGCGTTCCGTTTGGAGAGAAAACAGACTTCTCTGAAGTGAAACGGTCTCCTTGTTGTGTGTTGGTCGCCATGTTTCCTCTCCCCGGTGCTAGCATGGGAACGCTAGCCCGATTTGTGGACGGGGTGTCCTGATGCTTACATGGAGGCCGCCGCCTGTTCGAAGGGCAGCACCCTGTCGGCCTCTCTCTTACCTTTTTGAAGTAGCTGTATTTTGTTGCAGGAATGACTCGTTGTGTGTCACTTTTTAAGAGCCTCAGTGGTTGTTTGTGGGTGGTTGTTGGCTCAGCTCGCTGACAGGAACGTGCAGGTGAAGTAGCTCCTGTTAGCTCAACGTTATTCGACTTTAACTGCCTCTCTAAGCGGCTTCAGAGGAGATAAAGGAGCCTGTCGGAGGGTCGCTGTAGCTCCCAGCATGTCTTTCATTCATCCAGTGCACACTAGGTTACCACCCCCGTTAGTGTTTATTGACATCTTGCTGATGTTCGTGATAAAGGAGAGTAAACACATTAAAACATACGGATTGAAGGTTTCTCCCAGTCAGAGCCTTTTGATGGTACATTTGTTATTTACATTGTGCTTCCTTATATGTGTACATAGCTGTCAAATACACAAAGAACTAAAACGGTGTGATTTTGTAGTTTGTTTTGTTTTCTATCTGATGATGTAATAAAACTCTCCAGAAAAAAAACTTTTCGTTTAGCCCCATGTTTTAATTTTTATGAGAAAACAGCCACCCAGATCTAGTGTGTTGCTTACCGTGGATACGGTGTCAGGTCTGAAGTTTTTATGACCTGGTGCTGCTGAGTGCTGTTTATAAATTGTGCTGAATAAGGAGATTCATTTGAAACGATGCATGTTTTGACCCACAACACATAACAACTCTAAAGAGTTTGGACGTGTTCACCTGGATGTATTTATATTAAAGCGATCATCTTTCAGGTTACTAAAATGAATATTTACTAGTTGTTTTGTCATAACACGGTCTGATTCTCATGGTAACCGAAGCACTGTCTTAATTCATGCTCAGATGTGCAACAACTTTCCATCAGTTTCCTCCTCCTCTTTGGATTAATGAGTCTGTAACGTTTTTATTTTCTTTGTGTGACCTCCAGGATCTTCATCGATTTTAAAATGAAGAAAAAATGCAAAACTCGCCGCCCTGCTGTGTTGAAGAGGGACGCTTCTCCTATCAAGCCCTCGCCCAACAGGGAGACACTCACGTACGCACAAGCTCAGCGGATAGTGGAGCTGGAGGTAGACGGCCGGGTGCACAGGCTCGGCATCTACGACAAGCTGGACGTCATCGCCGACGACGACCCCACGGCTCAGGAGATCGTGGAGTGCAACAGCAACAAAGAGAACAACGAGAAGCCCCAGCAGGTTCTGGTTCGCTCTGTGCGTCTCAAAAACAGCCAGCAGAAGAAGAACTCCACTCTCTCAACCCCGCACAGCGGCAGCACGGGCAGCCTTCTGGAGCCGAAGGTCAGGACGGTTGAATACAATCTGCCGGTGGTGCCGAAGCGACCGGCGGCTTATTACAAATACACAGAGAGGACGGCGGAGGAGCTGGACGAGGAGGTGGAGTATGACATGGACGAGGAGGACTACGCCTGGCTCGAGTTCATGAACGAGAAGAGGAAGAGCGAGGGCGTCAGCCAGGTGTCTCACAACCTGTTTGAGTTCCTCATGGACCGCTTTGAGAAGGAGTCCTTTTCAGCCACTCGGGGTCAGAGCGACCTCCAGTCGCAGGTGGACGAAGACGCCGTCTGTTGCATCTGCATGGACGGAGACGGAGCAGACAGCAACGTCATCCTCTTCTGTGACTCTTGCAACATCCCCGTGCACCAGGAGTGCTACGGGGTGCCGTACATCCCTGAGGGTCAGTGGTTGTGTCGCCACTGCCTGCAGCGTCCATCACGGCCTGCTGAGTGCCTCTTCTGCCCCAACCGAGGAGGAGCCCTTAAAAAGACCGACGACGACCGCTGGGGCCACGTGGCGTGTGCTCTGTGGGTGCCCGAAGTCGGGTTCTCCGACACGGTTTTTATTGAGCCCATAGACGGCGTCCGCAACATTCCACCCGCCCGCTGGAAGCTCACCTGCTACCTGTGCAAGGCGAAGGGGGCTGGGGCTTGTATACAGTGCGACAAGATCAACTGTTACACCGCCTTCCATGTCAGCTGCGCTCAGAAGGCTGGTCTCTACATGAAGATGGAGCCTATCAGGGAGCTGACGGATTCCGGTGCCACCACCTTCTCTGTGAAAAAGACCGCCTACTGCTGCAGCCACACGCCGCAGGGCTGCGACCGCCGGCCGCTCAACATCTACGACGAGCCCCATCCAAAGAACGGAGCCTGTCACAAGAGGGCAGACAAGAGGGGGAAGGCTCGCTCTAAGGGCTGGCAAAAGAAAAAGATTAAGAAAGCAGAAGCCGAACCTGAATCTGAGACCCCAGCTAACTCTGGACCCAGCATCACTGCTTCAAGGTAAACAATCACACACACACCTGGTAATCAGGATGGGTCAGGCCTGTTTCTATCTTTGTTTCTGGTTTCTTCTCGGTGTTTTGCTTGAGCTGATTTGTTCAAGTTTATGAGTGAAATTTGACTAACATGAACACTAACTACTCACCCAAAGGAAGCGTTTGTTTAAAATGAGAAATAAAAGATAATTTGATGGTAAAATGTCTGTCCTTGTGGCGTAGTTTTGACACTATCCTGAATCAAGTAGCCGTTCAGAGGAAGCGTCAGTTTGTTGAGCTGGTCCTGAGCTACTGGGTGCTGAAGAGGCAGTCGAGAAACAACGTGCCACTGATCCGCAGACTACAGGCCAACCCTCACCCCCCTAAAGCTATACAGCACATGGTAAGTGCTGCTGACTGCAGTGAAGCTTTATGCTCGGATGTAGACCGGTTAAGTTCAAGTACTTCTTCCCACAGGACCGCCTGGAGACGAACCAGACGCTGAGAGAGCAGCTGAAAGTGTGGCACCGCCTCCGCCATGACCTAGAGCGTGCTCGACTTCTGCTGGAGCTCATCAGGAAGAGAGAGAAGCTGAAGAGGGAGGAGGTAGAATCTCTAACTCAGACTTTCGTTAGAAATCTGGAAACTGCTTTATTTCTTGTCTGGGTGTGAAATTTAATTTAGACTGTGAAAACAAAACAGTTACAGCTGCCTTTCATTTCACTTTTTATTTCTGACTGCACAGTAGGGCTGCCACGATTAGTCGACAACTAATCGATTATTAAAATAGTCGATGACTAATTTAAAAAATGTTTTTCTTTACTTTGTTTTTCTCTCCAAACTGCTTTGACACCTTCCACTGCCACATCTGCCTTTCTGTCCTTGACACACATGCACAGTAGTGGTAACTGGGGTAG